GCTTGACAGAACTAGTGGTATTTTAAATATTGTGTTGAAACAGTTGAAAAATTAAAGCACAAAAGGTGTTCTGTTTATACTTTGCTAACAGAATTTATTGCCGTCTGGATGTTCAATTGCACTGAAGGATATTCCTGAAACATAGTTGATAGGAGAAAGACATTTTCAAAGGGAAATTAGAAGTTTTGGCAATAAGAAAAACAACTAGCTTTAATCAAAAGAATCCTTCCTTAATTTTCAAAAAAATTTTTTTACACTTTTAAAACGTGGGAGTTTAGGCTGAACTAACTGTGCAGGCTTCTTTATGCGCTTTACATTATTTTCTAATGCATACCGTTGAAGATTTTAATTTAGATTTTTAAAGGATATTTAAAAAGAGGAAAATTCTGCGTTTAAGAAAGTGTTTGTAAACTTCTCGAAAGGCTTGATTTGAGAAGCAACTTGTGTTGGGCGGAGCGGGAGCGTACGGCACGTGATTGTAAAATCGGTAACGAGTTCTGCTGTGCCAAATTTTAATTTATTTTTATAACATATTGGTGAAAGTCACTGCAATTTTGATGCTCAGTCGAGCTCATTCTTTATATTTCTTATGATAATGACATGACCAAAAAGAAATAGCTTGTGAAATCAATTTTTGGGTCAATCTGCCTCTCAATGATGAGTCACTGCACCAAAGCGGAGCTCATTCTTGACGGGTATTTTGAGTGTCTGATAAGTCAGTGCCTGTTTTAGCGATTGATCTGATCATTCCGTAACTGTTAGACTTCTCAAACATCATGTTTTTCCTGTCAAATTAATTTGTCTCTAAAATTACTTTGTATAATTTGCAGTATTTATTTCTCAGTATTAAACCAACCAGCTTTTAAATGAAACAGTTGAAGAAGATTTTTTCTTGTTATTTTAATAATTAATTCACATCTTGTCTGCCCTCCTCTCGGAGTCATTAATTTCTTATTTTTTATCGAGAAACTTTTAAATTCCTTAAGGCAGCTTGTAATTTTTAGCTCTCACAACGCCGACTTCTAAAAACTAATGATTTTATCAGGTAAACGCAGCTTAAACGGGTTTTGCTCAGTCAAGATTTTTAATTTAAGAGTTGGGGAAACATCATCTAAGAATTGTGTGAGGAAGTTTATTGTACAGTGGATTATAAGGTGAAAGGTCTCAAAACTTTAATTGCTATTTAGAACCCACTGCTAGTTAACCACCTTATTACTTGCTTGGAGGAGCAAAGGCCTTAAAAATTTCGCGACCTCTAGCAGTCATTATTCATTCGAATTCCGGTGGTTGCAAATTGAGCTTTCATTAACAATTGCTTTTTTCTCTCCCTTAAAGTTTTTTCATAAGTGGGGAAAACACTAAAGACCATTCCTGTTTTCCGTATACTAACACTGTCTAAAAATAAAAATTTTTTTCTTGAATTGAAAGTCGTTTTTGTTTCTCTTTTCAAGAGATTGGGCTTTATTTTGTTTTTCTGCTTATTTTTTGCTTGTAATGCGTTCTTTTGATTCTGCTTTTGTTAAGTAGGCTTAATGTAGCCTATGTTAATTGGGCGTTGAGGAAAACTTGCTATCTAGAACCACTTCCTGGGCTAAGTTCGAGCTACGCATCGTTTAGAATGGCCCGGACAATTGAGAAATTTTTTTGGAAAAATGGTATATCTTAATTTGATGTATCAACAGTACAGCATTACTGCATTTTCCTCCTGCTGATTGAAACTTAATTTAGGGTGGAATTATTTGATCAGGATGGGCGGTATAAAAGTCCTTGCATAATTTCTAATTCAAAAGTAAGTTATGTGATCTGATTTTGAAAAGATCTAGTAATTTACAGTAAAAAATGACTATAAGAGCTTTAAATTGTCGCGTCAGTGCTTCATCGCCTGACAAAAACTTTTATTCCGTGTAAATGGCTGGAATCTTTTGAAAGATGAAAATAAATAGGTGAATGGTGTCGTGGTAATATGTTGGAATCCTGCGGTGAAACCCAAAAAGTGTTTTAAACTATTCTTCCATGACGCAATTACTTGGTCTAGTGCAGTTTATGCAATGACAGCAATTAACTTTTTAACTCTTATTCCTTGTGATTTCCATTCGGTTGTTAAGTCTACAAAATTGTAACGACAACGGTGGTTGGCACTCAGGAACTTTACGAGACATTCAGTTTCTTACCTTTTTTCTCTAATATTAAGCGTAAGCACTAACCGATTGTTTGATTTGAAATCTAATACGGAAAACGCGAAAAATTTGCATTTTGGGTAGCCTAGGCAATCCTTTTCACTGTCCCGTTTTTAAGATAAAATTTTTTGCTAGATTAGTTTATACAACTTTGTTCCAGCTCAATTTTACTTGTACACTATCTCTGTACTTCTTGCTAATTGTCTGATGAAAATTCCTTAAATTGGCAGTCTTTAAAATGATCGATTTTGGCGAGGAGAGGCAGTGGACGTGTAACGAGGTTTGAAGTACACTTGCGAAGTAAAAGGATTTTGTCTTTGGTTACAACCTCAGAACTTAACAAAATTATACTACAAAGCAAGGTTAGAACAAAAAAGCAGCCTTTTATCCTGTTTAAACGGACCTAGAAAGCATTATATTGCAAGGTGGGATTGAAGGTTGCAATTATGACATGAAAACATCTGGTATCCGCGTCGGCCACGATCTGTACAGTGGCTAGTTTATGACGTGTAATAGGCGCCGAAATAGAAGAACAAATAGAAGAACCACTAGGAGGACTGCAAATATAGTAGGCTTTCGCATTCCCTACACGGAGAAAAAAATAAAGTAACTGAAAAGTTTCATGTGAAGCTTCCGTGTGAAGTTTCTAATTGCAGTGGAAATTGAATTAGAGAAACATAATATTTTCGTAGGCAAAGAACAAAACCCTCCTAAGGTTGCCTAATTTGGCAGCCAACACAAATCAATTTAAGTCTTGAAGATTACTCTTGTTTTCAACTATTTTTTTTTGTTTCTCTTTTTGCTGCTATGGAGGATGGCTGTTTTGAAATTATTTATTCTTATATCTAGAATTTTCTCTGTCACTATGTAATTTCGTTGCTATTTTCAGCGTTTTCGAAACTTATTTGGCTTCTTGCTTTTGCCTACACCTGTTTTAAAAGTGGTTTACAACTGGCTGTTATCTTCTTTTCGTTCTTGTGTTAGTATAGATAAAGCATAAACAATATGCAACGATCATATTGACCCAATTTAGGCAACTATTACACAATTAAAGGCCGTGCAATTTTTTACAGAATGCTCTTTTTTTGTTAACGGCGGAACAAAAATCTTTCCTTCTCCATTTTTTTTTAGTCTATGGAAAAACTTTTTTGGTAAATGTCACAAACCATATTCAGTTTTATAAAAAGAAGCTTGCAGGGTCTAGGTGAAAACTAAGAATAAGTTTAGATAATGTGCCTGATTTTGAGAAGGCTTTGACGTTAGAGTGCCACTCTCTTAAAAAACTGCC